GTTGACAAAGTTTTATCGCAAGCTGATGAACGGTATAGCAGCGCATAAAATACGAACAAACAATTTTGAGTTTTTATGTATTAGTAGATTATGTTTATATTACTTGTATTTATTTCACTTTTTCATAATTTTTTTTCTTATAACATTTTTGCTGCAACACTATTCATTATTATGTTTATCCAGATATAAACCTAATATAAAGATTCGAGCATACTTGGCCTAATTGGTTGACTACAATAGTGGAGATTATAATTATAAAAAAAACTGCAGTTTGTGTGAAGTACCCCAAGGACCTATTTAATTTACAATCTGTGACCTACTTAGTATGTATAATATACTTCACAATCCATAGACTTACTATACTGGTCACAATCATAGACATTGAGCCAACAGTCGCTTTATCTCGTTTTAGAAAATGGTCGTTATTTATAAGGCTAATGCTCAGTCCATTCGCTATGTCTATGCTCACAATAATACCCAGACTAATATGATGCTTACGCATCAGTAATGCATACATATGTATGTATTAGAGCAAGATCCCAGAGCCACCAGACGTCACTTAAATTCTGACCAAATAAATTTATATGATTGAGTATTGTTAATCTGTACTAACTGTTCTAACTGCTAGCTTGGTAAGAGGGCCATTTTCCAGGTATCAGGTAATCAAGGTATCTACGTAAAAACATTACTCACCTTACGTTAAATCTAACAGCTATTTTTTACGTAAATGTTAGATAATATCGTTAAAATTCAGTCGTCAATTCTCCCAGACACTTTCCGTCGGCAGAATCGCTTTGCAGACGCTTTAAAGCTCTCAAAAATGTTAATCAATTTCCCTATTTTTATATATGTCAGCCAGACAACCATTTTAAAACGTTTTACAAGAAGGCAGACTTCGGTCAAGAGTCAACCATCCCCTGGACCTAATTTTAGTGCCTCTGTGGGTATGAGCGCGAGGGCATTATCCGCCCGTATGAGCATGAGTGAGACATGTATTAATATCTTGGACTATATGTATTACTCTTTTTTTTATAGGATAAGGGTGACAAACGAGCACACAGTTCACCTGATGTTAAGTGGTTGCTGTAGCCCATAGACATCTACATCTATGTGGCTTGCCAAGTCTGACGATCACCTCGTTTCCTCCCACAATAATTATGTTAGTTACCAAAACTTTCATTATGTACATTGTTATCTAGTTTAATGTCTGACGTAAGAAAAGAATATAACTTACCGTTTGATTACAAAAAGGACTACATCATCATCATCACCAGTGCTATCATAAGTCCACTGCTGAACACATGCCTGCCTCTTGACGGCTATAAAACTACATACATACATTTTTATTTAATTAAAATATCTTGCATATATTTTCACTAGTATTCTCATTTCCAGGGAACTCGTGGTATTGAACCCAGATTCCTTTCAGGTCAGTCATAGAATACGGCTGCGGTAGGATGAGTAAGTGATACCTCATTCGAGCTGAACCCATGTAGCCAAATTAGAAACATTTCTAATTTTTTTTTATAGACTTAGGGCAACGAACATACAGTCCACCTGATGTTAAGTGGATGCTCTGGCGCTTAAACATATATCCTCGATTAAGAATGAAAATGCAGATTTGGTGTCATCTGTTTGACCTGTGTACTAAGATAGAATGCCTCGTTTCCTATATAAAGGGTTTCCGGTTCTCAACACTCGCCATACGAAACAGAGCAGCCTAAATCTGCTATTTCACTCTGGTATTCTGTGCGAGCGTAGTGTCCTACCCTAGTCGAGCCGACCAATTCGTGCTACAACCATAATATAGAGCTGCAGCGTGGCTCGCGTAACACGTAACCGTTCTTAGATCTCTAATTTAATGTACTGCCCAAGCTATTTAAAATGTTTAGTAATACAGGCATCATCCTCCCTCAATCTTTGACTCCCTCAAACTTTTCATTTACCAGCAATAATTATTCATATTCTCCTTTATAATTATATTCCCTCTCATATCTGAATGTTTTAGGACAGGGAAGTGTTCGCCGCGTTGCCCCAATGAGTGATGATCGACTTCACATGTATCACTTTGAAATGATTTTGTCATCTCAGACATGCAGGTTTCCTGTCAATATTTTCCTTAAACGTCGAGCGAATTGTGTAATAGCACTTAAAAATCGCAATTAACAGTTTCATTTGTGCCTATGGGAATCGAACACGATTGGTCTTGCGTACAGTAAAATTAACGGCAAGTGCTTATACAACCCAGAATTAAAAGGAGTTATAATGTATTTTTCTTTATATCTGTTTATTGTGATTTGCATTAAGAAAGTCTTGTCATTAAATTGTATGAATCTATCCGCATGTCTATTAGTCTTTGACCTTAAATGTCTCTTGAGAAAATGTACTAACGACTATACAGTTTCTAGAGTCATTATTTTTATATGCATAGCTATCATAATATATAATAACAAGTACACGGTAGCTAAAGATGACTCACTACCCCATAGCATCTCGTGTTGTAAAAGGCAACTGGTGGAATCTGGAACAAGAGAGTAAATGGGCAGCTGCATCTTTCTGATAAAGTCTCAAGATATTAAAAAAGTGTGATTGCCAACGTGTCCGTAATTGCACTATTTAATTTCTCAAGTATAGGAATTATCCACCATATAAAGTAGAAAAACAAAGACCTCCACCACGCAAAGGACTATTGATAGGCAGAAATCAATAAATTAATTATTAAAATTGTAACTATTTCAATTTTAGAATGAATGAATATGATCAATGCTAAAACAGTGTACCTAAATCTTAAAACCTGGGTTCGAAGTAAAAACACAAATTGGTCCGGTTCGAGATGTGTAATGATTGTCACCTTTCAAATACCGGATGAGGGATGCCTTAAATTAACCGAGTACAGATGAGAGAATAATGATATGATGATGATCACTACTATAAGTTTTTAGCCTGTAGAAATCTGGCATAAACATAACGTTGACTCTGCATTCTTCACAAGGATTTCCCCAAAACAAACTTATGTAATCAATTAGATTTTTTTATGTCTATTTGTACTGTGATTCTCCCGTGTCTTTATGTGCACTAGAGCTTACCTTGAATAATATCATATATTTTATGTTCTGGTGTTGACGGCTCCGTGGCTCAGTAGCCTAGCAATGAGTTACAGTGCCGAAGGCTGCGGAATCGATTCTCGCGTGATTACTGCGTATGTATAGCCTACAAGTAATTGTTCCGGGTCTGGATATTTTGTCCTTGTGACAGTACGTAAACTGCCTCCCGGATACAGGAAAAAATCCTAGCGTCGAGGTAACGTTTTCATGAGTACAATAACAAGAAAAAAAAGAATATGTTAGTGGTGGGGTCAAATAAGTGAGTGTTTGTTTTTCACACATGAGGCCTTTCAGAATTAAGATGTGAAAGATGCTGTTAAGATAACGACGTCGTTGAAATCGGATAATTCTTTGAAGTGAAATCAAATTCCATGACTGTTTTCGTTTTAATTACAGCATAACAACAAAACACTACTACTACAGCAATAAAAAAGTCATAAATTTTTAAGCGAACAATTTGTATGGTCAAAATGTTACTTATGTTCCGGTTTGAAAGGTAAGAAGAACCAATGTAATTACAAATTATGGGGTATAATTTTTATGGTGTATGCTCGTACGTAGCACTAATGTTATAAAAAGGTAAATAATTTTGAAAGTGTGAGTGAATAGTGTATTTTTTTTCAACATAGTACAACCATATTGCATCTATGTTATGGCTGTAGCACCAATGGGTCGGCTCGACTGTGATAGGACCACGCTCTCACATAATACCAGCGTAAAATAGCAGCTTAATCGAGGATAGGTGTAGATGTTTATGAGCCACAGCTTCCACTTACCATCAGGTGGACTGTGTGTTCATTGTCACCCTTATTCTATAAAAAAAAAACTTCCGATTTGAAGAAAACAGAGGGGTATTAATAGTTTGTAGTGTGTATCTTTGTGCCTGTGTGTCTGTCTGTTTGAGCATACCTCCTGAAGAATGAATGAGAAGATGAACCGATATTGATCTATTTTTCGTTTTAAAGGTGTTTCAATAGAGAGTATTCTTATATTTTTATAGAAGGGGGTAAACGAACATGAAGCTCCCCTGAAGGTAATTGTTGCCCTCCGCCCAGGAACAACTGCAACACTAGGGGAATCGCAGGTGCGTTGCCGGCTTTTTAAAAAGAAGTAAGCCCGTTTTTTGATGTTCCCTAACTCGTATCGGTTCGATAAAATCGCCGTTGGTAAACAATTCCACAAAGTAGTCGTGAGTGGATGAAAACAACTAGTTATTCGCACAGTGTGTTGTGTATTTATGTGGTAGAGCCATGCTGCAGCTATATTAGTAGTATAGTTGTAGCACGAATGGGTTGGCTCGACCGGGGATGGACCACGCTCTCACAGAATACCAGCGTAAAATGGCAGCTTGATACTGCTGTGTTTCGTATGGTGATTGAAGAGAACCGGAGACCCATTTTACTGGAAAAGAGGGATTCCATCTTAGCCCTCACGAGTGATGACGCATCTGCATTTTGATTCTTTATTGAGGATAAATGTAGATGTCTATGGGTCACAGCAACCACTTACCATCAAATGGACTGTGTGCTCGTTTGTCACCCTTATTGTATTAAAAAATATATTTATCCAACAAATAATTCTATTTACATCGTGATAACATTCTATCTACAACTACAACAACAATTTTCCGTTTCGCTACACACTAACACGAGTGGAAGGAAAAGGGGTCTTACACACTTGCACTAAGCGGTATCGCGCCTTATCCAACAGTTGCATTAAATGTACCGAAACTCTCGTGCCTGCTTCAGTGTACACTCACCGTAGAGACGGTAGCCCCGATCTAAGAAGCACAATTCTTTATAGTCTCTACATAGCCTATAAATACGCTAGGCGTTCACGAGCGGTCTTACAGTCTTTTTCTTCTTCTCATCCCGCGTGCATCTATTCTAAATCAAAATGTTTACAAAAGTGCTTATCTTAGTTGTTGTATTAACTATGTCGGAAGTAAAGGCCGATTTAGGAATGAAGTATTTAATGAAAATATACGACGATTGTCAGCAGACAAGTGGAATTGTTCCTTGTTTAAAGAAAAAGGCCATATTATTCTTCGATCGAGCCGCTAGGATGGAATCTATACCTTTATTTGACGGTGTTGATATAGTGAAGTCTTCTGAACCGGGAGTACCGCCTATTAGTGAAAATGAATTAGACGCGAATCTACCGAGAGGGTTGGGCAGTAAGGATGAAACTTTATCAGCTATGCTGTGGGACAAAATCGCGTCGTTCGCTAATTCAAGGAAAATTCAATTTTCACTGCCAAAGATGTCTGGCGAGGAGTTAAATAGAGGGGTTGAAGAAGGTAAGAAATTTTCGTAATATATTACCATATTATAAATTGTATTAAAACTTTCATGCATTACTTACTTAGTCAGTATGAAGTTAGTTCATTCTAAAAGAAAATTCTTCAAACATTTGTTCATAAAATTACGTGAGGAAATCTCTTGCGTTCTTCAGAATAAATGTTACTTCTAAAAATAATATCGCACCTGAATAAAATTGTCATATGTTATTTAAATCGTCAATAAAAATAGTTGGGTCGTAACATGTGTGTATAAAAACGCATACATCTCTTAACGCATATATTCAAAACTGCAAAGTTAAGTCATTAAGGTTTCATTTTCCAATCGTCAGTTAAAAGTTGTCCATCGAATAAATTATAATCTGAATGAAATCTATCTTTCATTTGTTTTTGTCGTGTTTCATCTTAGAGTAATATTACAGACATATGTATACATTTATCCTATGAATAAAATTTATCTAAATATAACACGTGCGTATAATTGTCGGTTATTTCAAATTTAAATCAACATTATAGAATTGGTAGGAACGTAGCTTTGTAAAAACAATCTACAATCAACTTATCAATGACCATAGTAGATGAGATTTCCTTTCAAGGATTTCAAGGAATTAGATCAAGGATATACTTCTCAAGAAAGTAATTATACAGTATTTTTTTTTATTGTGTAGGGTGACAAACGAGCACACAGTCCACCTGATGGTAAGTGGTTGCTGTGGCCCATAGACATCTACATTTATCCTCGTTTGCGAACCAAAATGGAGATGCGTCGCCACCCGTGAGAACTAAGATGGAATGCCTCGTTTCCAGTAAAAAGGGTCTCCGGTTCTCTACACTCACCATACTAAACACAGCAGTGTTAAGCTGCTATTTGACGCTGTTATTCTGTGAGAGCGTGGTCCTTCCCTGGTCGTGCCTATCCATTAGTGCTACAACTATACTACTAATATAGCTGCAGCATGGCTCTACCACGTATAAAAAATTGTTGTCAGTTGTTATTTTTAATCCAGGACTAATGTCCGGTAGAACAACTAAGGAAGCAATATGACAAAATTTTTGTTACTAAAATATGATAATTACTTTGTTACTAAAGTGTCTCTTAAACGAAGTAAACGAAGTATAGAGTTAAATAATTCATGATAATATAGAAAGCTTTATATGTCATAGATAAAAATAAATGAACATCAGTATAGCTTCAACTTGGAAGGAAGTTTCAGTGAAAGCCAACTAACGATGCAATTGACCAAGTTACTTACATCGTAAATACAAGTAAAATTCAGTATAGCTACTATTCAATTTATGGTTTAGATTCAACACAGGAACAATACTTGCTTTATACATTAGTAAACTATAAAAAGAAAAACTAAATTTTTTGCATAAATTCGAATACGCTTTGATTCAATGTTAAAATCATTTAGTGCTAAAATACAGGTATAATATCCTAGTTTAGGGGCTGTTGACCATTGTAAGTATTTGTGAATGTATTATGTTTAACAATAAAGATTAATATTATTATTAAAATATATATAAAGAAAACATAAACTTTCACACCTGTTACCCAGAGGTTTAGGCAGGAACTACAGATTTCCATTTGGCGAAATTGTGACACATTCTATTATATTCCATGATGAAAATAAAACTAAATTAGATATACATGGCAATGATACACTAGCTACTTGTACAACTTTCTAGTTAAGTTGCTTAAGAACATATAACAGATGTTATACATATCTCCAAAATAACTTGGTGAGTATTTAGTTACTTGATGATGGAAGGCAACTTGTTGGTGGGTGAGACAAACATGATCGAAAAATGCATGTACTCAATGTCAGTGACACAAACCCTTTCTGATGGCGAATTATTACTATTATCTTATAACTGCCTATTGGCTATATCTGCCATTGTATTGGTTGGTGGAGAATATGTGTCGACCTCATGCGGGTGGTATCTGGAGGGAGAATCTGAGGAGGCTCTCAAGGCTGCGGCCGTAAGCCGCGCAACGTGGGACCCCATTCCCTTGTAGTGAGCGGTAGACTCATGACACGCCCTGCGGCCAATTGGCCGTGCTGACACATCCTATTTACTTTACTTTTACTTTGTTGTCAAAATGCTTGGGTTACATTACTATCCTGTACTAGCAATGTAAGAATATCCACTACTTCAAAATGTCCCGTGGGTGTCGTAAGAGGTGACAGATGGAACAGGTGATGGGTAGCAGCATCTCCCTGATAACAACTCAAAATAATTTAAAAAAAACTTCGGTTGACAACCCGCTCGCTAGGCGTATCAACTATAGCAAAATCACCCCAATGCGGGCAATCTATGGAAGAGGCATATGTTAGCAGGGCTTGTATTGGCTGTAATGGATGGATGTATAGAAGATAATCTACCAGGAGCACATGACCCACTGAGAGGTGAAATTATTAAATCAACAGTAACATTACAACTATGACAAAATATCCTCTATGAGGCAATCTACGGAGGAGGCATATGTTCAGCAGTGGACTTTTATTGGCTGTAATGGATGGATGTATAGAAGATAATCTACCAGGATCACATGACCCACTGAGAGGTGAAATTATGAAATCAACAATAACATTATTACAAATAAATACATTATGGCTCTACCACGTAAAAAACTATAAAGTCTTTATTATATTTAAAATGTACATAAATAGACACACACACACACACACACACACACACACACACACACACACACACACACACACACACACACACACACACACACACACACACACACACACACACACATCACACACACACATCACACACACACACATCACACACAGAGATTAACTTTATGAATATAAAATTATTAATACAAACATTAATTACCCTTTACTCCTTAAAATTTAACTTTGAAATAAAATACCCATATACAACTATATTATCCTCTTATATCGGTTAATGATTAAAATACATATGCATTTAAAAATAGGACATAAAAAATTAAAAGTATGTAACCACATAGACAAAGCAGTTACAATAAACTTTACTAAACTAAAATCGATTCTTTAGATCACGTACTTCTCAAGTAAAATTTCAAGAGAACCACAAGATCGTTTTGTGTGAAAATCTTAATGGAAATCCGTTTAATAAAGTGGTCAAAGACAATACGGAACAATAACGGAAAAACTGGTTCATTCCTAATAGCGAATACTCTCATAACTTTAGCATTGTTGTATAGTCACGATGTGTACTGCAAATCGCATAAAATCAAATGACAATGCTGTTTCTAACGGACGCTATTTACCGACGACGAAATCGTCAAGAATATTTCACTTTTACCAAAGCAATAATGGACATAATTGCAGTTGCAACGGAAGTTTGAATGGGATAGCTACTGAATCTACGAATAACTACGAAAACTTATCTTTATATGTATTATTCTCCTATCCATGTATATAATTGAACGCCTCTCAAAGGGCTTGACAGATTTGGATGAAGTTTTTGTTTGTGATTAGAATAGAATAGAATAATTTTTTATTCAATATGCACAAATACCACTGGTTCGGAAAATACCTCTGTCCTGGGAAGAACCAGAAAGAAACCCAGCGGTTAAAATTAAATTGACTCAAGAACGGTTTGGATTCACAATTGGACAGGTGGTGCTACTGTCAAAATCCAGAAATTAACCCGGGGCGTATCGCTAGTAATACTATAAACCTATCATCAACCATCAAACAGTTGAATGAGATAATTTATATTGTAATAATATAATATATAAAAATTAATATTTGTTTCTTTGTATTTTATGCGCAGCCATATCGTTCATCAGATTGCGGTAAAACTTTGTCAACTTACTGCTTGCACTAAGCTTGTGCGAAGGTTAAAGTCATAGTATCTACAATTAACTTAAAATAAATGGCGCACGTATTGTACCGAGACATTGATTTGAAAGTTATAATCTATCATTTAATTTCAATGCGTGTATTCATTCCTAATTAAAGAATATAACTGTTCCAAATTTAAAAAAGATATAATTTTCCACAATTATTTCTTCTGCGGCTACAACGCGTAGAGCACAGGCCAGTGTTTTATAAAAATAATCATTATATTCGTTTTAATATTTTATGTGACCAATAATAAAATGCATTATAATATATAAGAACTATTTATTGAGTCCTTCCCTCGGTTTTAGAACCGGGTTAAGAACAGATTCATTGTGCTTTAGCTATATTATACTGCATCTTGGCTCTACCGCGCTTAGCGTTTAGCCACAACAGTCCAGATGATTGATTACAGATTGTGAATAAAAAAAGAATTATTATTATTATTAAAAGAATATTTTACGTGGTAGAGCCATGCTGCAGCTATATTAGTAGTATAGTTGTAGCACGAATGGGTCGGCTCGACCGGGGAAGGACCACGCTCTCACAGAATACCAGCGTAAAATAGCAGCTTAACACTGCTGTGTTTCGTATGGTGAGTGTAGAGAATCGGAGACACTTTTTACTTGAAAAGAAGCATTCCATCTTAGTCCTCACGGGAGACAACGCATCTGCATTTTGATTCTTTCTTGAGGATAGATGTGGATGTCTATTCGTCACAGTAACCACTTACCATCAGGTGGAGTGTGTGCTCGTTTGTCACCCTATCCTAAATAAAAAAACCTCTAAAAAGTATTGTTGAGCATTTTAATTTTAAAACAATATTCAAATAATTCCAGGTCGAGGCAAGATGAAAAAGATGATGGGCATGATGATGATGGGTGGTGCAATGAAGATGGCCGCGATGATCCCGCTCGCTATTGCCGGGCTGTTCGTGTTGGCTGGAAAGGCTTTAATAGTTTCGAAGGTAACGCTTATCTTAACTATATTACAACTATAAAACATAAATATTTCGTATCGATTGTAGCAAACACGCTCCTGAGTCACCTGTATTCATCGATAACCATTTCATCTCATCAGGAATCGACCTATATAAAAGTTCGTACACTACTTACTTGTTATATGAACTTGTCGAGCACTAGTGGAACTCCTTACTTTTGTATATTGGACATGCTGAGTTCATTTTTACCTGACTGTGGAACGCAAAGGAGGGTAATCTCAAAATCAGCCTTTATATGTATATATGTTTGATAATTTATGACGCTCTAGAGATCAAACGCGTGCGCTGATTTTCATGATTTTGACGTCAATTGATTTGTATTAGTCTTGTAAGTATTACTAAGGACATGGCAGTAGTAAAAACTCAATATGGCTACAACCAGACGTCATATTGTTAAAAAGAATAAATGAAAGTAGACGAACCATATCAAGTGGGGTATCATTGATCAGGGTTTTTGTAAATCTTTAGGTTTCCTTAATTATTTTTAATTTCGAATGACCATTTAGGTATCATAATGATTTAAAATTAGCTAGCAACCAGTCTCACATAAATCTTCAAACCTTCTAATAAGTTTGTGATAATAGTTCTTATATAATCGTGTATAGGTCATCATAGTAAATTTTTAAACGTAGTCGCGATTTTTCTAAACTGTATTTAAACATAAGGCTTGTTCCTTCAAAAATTAACTTAAAGCTTATATCTTGGAGCTTACATTTAACATCATATTTCCTATCTCATCTTGTATCTCTCCTATTTATTCACACCTCCCATAATCTTGTTTTTATTTTAAGTATTTGATTAAGTATACATCTGCCTCTCTTCATTCGTTGTAAACAATACTGCTTTATGTAATAGGTTATCTGAAGAAATCAGAAAGATAAAATCACCTGTAGTACCTAACGAATATATAAACCATTTTATTGTTTTAATTTGTATCTGCGTGCTATAAAGAATCAATTAATATTGATTGAAAGTTATACGCATTGTTCTAATCAAGTCCTACCACGTCTTCTTGTCTACAATTTCATTCATATTGTTGGAGGCAGGTAATAATTAGTTAAGTAATCCAACAAAACATAAGGGATATACGTGGTAGAACCACGCCCTCACAGAGTACCAGCCTAAAATAGCATCTTGATGCTGCTGTGTTTGTATAGTGAGTGTAGAGAACCAGAGACCCTTTTACAGGAAACTAGGCATTCCATCTCAGTCCTCAGATGTGACAACGCATCTGCATTTTAATTATTAATCGAGGATAAATGAATTTGTCTATGGGCCACAGCATCTACTTACCATCAGTATCAGTGTGCTCGTTCGTCACTCTTATGCCATAAAAAAGACAATATAATTCTTCTGTATCTGTACCATTGGCACAATATTATTCATTCAAGCATTAATTACAGCTTACCAAATTCCATTTCTAAACAAAGGATTCCCGACATATAGATAGCTTTATAAAGGCTCGATTACACGCTCAGTCTTACATGCAAAAATCTAATTTGCACAAGCAAGCAATACGTTAAGCCGGCAAAACGTATACCATGCAAATAGCTTGCCAGAATGGTTAATTTACTCAAACTAAAGTTGCACAAGCAAAAATGTACGTTAACACGGCATGTGGACGCCATACATGTTCTTTACGTAAACTTTGTACCAACTGTTTGCGTATGGAAGACGCTATCGTGTGCACATTGTGCAGTGCACTATGTTGTAAGTAAGTCACTGCGTGTACCCAAAGCTTTAGGGGAATATTTGTCATAGTCATCACGCTTTGCATGCGGCTTAACAGCCGCAGTGTTTTATTTCAAATTATATTTAGGAAATTTCTGATGCCAGTCCCCTTATTTGACGATATGGCGTAGTGGATATACTTACATTGTCACTACACTATAGTCATCCGTTACCGTTACCGTAACAGCCTATTAAAGTCCTCTGCTGAATATAGGTCGCCCCCACAGATTGCCTCATACGGGGATTTTGCAATACTTGCCACGTTTGCCAAGCGGGTTGGCAACAGCAGTTTTTTATTATTTTGACTACTAGGAAAATGCAGCTGCCCATATCATGTTTCAGTGTCCCTCTGAAGCCTCTTACGATATCCACGAAACGTATGGGGCAATGAATATTCTAACACCGCCACTACACGGATACCCGCAGTGTTTAACTTCTAGTGTTCTTTATACGTGGTAGAGCCATGCTGCAGCTAAATTATGGTTGTAGCACAAATGGGTCGGCTCGACCGGGGAAGGACCACGCTCTCACAGAATACCAGCGTAAAATAGCAGCTTAACGCTGCTGTGTTTCGTATGGTGAGTGTAGAGTACCGGAGACCCTTTTTACTGGAAACGAGGCATTCCATCTTAGTCCTCACGCATTTTGATTCGTAATCGAAGATAGATGTAGATGTCTATGGGCCACAGCAACCGCTTACCATCAGGTGGACTGTGTGCTCGTTTGTCACCCTTATCCTATAAAAAAAATAGTTGTTATTAGTAAAACCCTGCTGCTAGTCTTTCGGTTTGTTTCCCTCTGTTGTCTCTTACGACGACTACGGTACGATATGGGGTAATGGATGTTCTCACATTGCCATTACTACACTATACTCATCGTTACAAATGCAGCGTGGACTAATTAGAAAATAATACTTCGTACTCATTTTAATAATCACAGTACAGAGATATTCATTCAAACGTATAATTTGCACCGTGAGAATTGTTTTATTAGGTTGTGTGTTACTTGGTGTTTTCTGTGGTTGTGCGCTTTTGATTTGTGTCGAGATTATTTGAACGTACTAAATCGTCTTTGCTTTTACGTGACTAGTAATCTAATCCAGGTATCTATTTTAGTATTTAAGTACCTGACAGATGCTTTGAATTAGTTCAATGTAATTTTTATAATTCATAATGTCATAATTTTTTTTTATAGGATAGGGTGACAAACGAGCACACAGTCCACCTGATGGTAAGTGGCCACTGCGACCCATAGACATCTACATCTATCCTCAATAAAGACTCAAGATGCAGATGCGTTGTCACCCGTGAGGACTAAGATGGAATGCCTCTTTGCCAGTAAAAAGGGTCTCCGGTTCTCTACACTCACCATACGAAACACAGCAGCGTTAAGCTGCTATTTTACGTTGGTTTTCTGTCAGAGTGTGGTCCTTCCCCGGTCGAGCCGACCCATTCGTGCTACAACTATACCACTAATACTGCAGCATGGCTCTACCACGTATAAAATATTAAATTTACAATGTTAACGTCATAATTTAAATTAAAATGTATTCAATAATTCACTAAAGGTATCATGATGTTATTAGAATAATTCTCAGATGAAATTAGTGATACAAATGACAATTAAGTCCAATATATGTAAACATACATATAGTTATCATTATGAAATTCCTTAACACTATAATTACATTTTTTATTAGCCATTCACGTACATTTTTGGTGTTGAGACTTGGAAAACTTATACAGCAGTGCTTGAACTGCTTTGGAATTTTATTAAATATTTTAAGACACGTGCAGTAACAGCCTTTCCGACACACAGAAGTTTTCGGTTTATGGTCTCAGACAAACCTATAACTATTTCTAGTGATTTGTGAATAGAGTAATTTTTCAATATGCGCCCAAATTTGCAAAGAAAGTTCAGAATAAGTTATATAGCCAAATGGTAAAGAATATTTAATCTAAAAATCTCAAACAAAGGACAGAATGTCCTTTTTATTTATTTTTATTCATTTAAATGTATATAATTATTATCATTAATAAATATCTGTCAGATGGTCAGTGGATGCCGTGGCCCATAAATATCCCCATTTATCCCCGATTAAGAATCAACACGCAGATGCGTTGTCACCCCTGAAGTCTACGATGGCATGCCTCGTTTCCAGTAAAAAGGGTCACCGGTTCTCTACACTCACCAAACGAAACACAGTGAGCATTAAGCTGCTTTTTTACTCTGGTATTCTGTAAGAGCGTGGTCCTACCCCAATCGAGATCCATTCGTGCTACAACCAAATATAGCTGCAACGTGGCCCTACCACGTAAAACGTAGTAATAGTGTACTATAATTTTAAAATATAAATTCGTTCATTACGGTTATTACGACTAACGTAAAACTTCATGCACTCTTAATCTCTCTGACAATCAAACATTTCAGTGTATACGCAAAATATTATATTGCTTTATTACATTACGAAAGCGTGAAAAATTTAATTCACGTCTTCGAATCACGCAAATGATGCGCCGTATAGCGGGAAATATCTTCAAGCAGTGGAATATGTCATGCATACACGGAGTAAAGCTTTTGACATGAACAACAGTGAATTAATGTGAAGATATAATCGAAGTAACGGACAAAAGATAGGATCTGGTCTAAGCTACATGGTACTTTTTAGTAGATTTTAAAATCATTTTGACTTTTGGTTATATTAAAAAAGTGTTTAATTAACTTAGGGAATGACCATTCACATCATATTTTATAAAACGCGATAAAATTAGAGTTTAGCACTTTGTGACATCAATCAAATTGTTAGTTATAAATTGTTGATTTACCACGTGTAAGAGTTATAAAAAAAATCTTAAAGAATCCCGTATTTTTAAGAAATTTAAATAATATATTTCGTGGGGATGCGAAGTCCGCCAACATGAAATAGGGCAGCATTGCGAACTCACCTTTGCCTTAAAACGCTATCAGGAATGACCGGACTGTGAGCATAATTTCGACTTATATAGAATGTTACTTTAATTTTCTTTTAATTTATAAAATATATTTTAAAACATACACGAAAAAATAAATAGAAACACCTTAACGCAAAATAGTGCCTCTTTTCTTTTATGTTACTAGGAACTTGCTTATTCAAATTTTTAAGTCTCAAAAATATTCATTAACAAAAGTTTTTTAAAGTTTGTTGTGTAATATGAAACGCATATTGAACTTCTTCACTATCCATACTTTTAAGAAAA